AACCCATAACAGCATTCCTTTGCCAGGAGGGAATCCATTATGTGTTCTACCTGGACAACATTCTAGTGTTGGGAGCTACACTCAAAGAATGCAGAAAGAATGTGCAACAGACTCTTCTGCTTCTATAGAGTCCAGGCTTTGTGATAAATTTTTGCAAGTCTCATCTGGAGCCTACCAGAAAACTTGTTTACTTGGGGTTTGTCATAAACTCCAAGCACATGACACTATCCCTAACACAAGAAAAGTTGGACAAAATTGTATCTCACTGCCATCAAGTTCAGCAGTCCAACGACCTCACTGTTCGCAATGTTGCGAGTCTTATTGGCCGAATGTCATCAACCATTCAAGCGGTGCTTCCAGCGCCTCTTTTTATCATTGCCTGCAGAACGACCAGAACCGTGTTCTTCAGAAGAGCAAGTCCTACGAGTCGACAATAATTCTTTCGGCAGACTCAAAGGAGGAACTTCAGTGGTGGATAGACTCCATTCAAGCTTGGAATGGTCACCGATTTGTTCAGGACATCTCTGACCTTCCTCTTCAAACAGATGAATCGCTGGTGGGATGGGGTGCGTGCCTCGGCGAGACCTAAACGGGAGGTCGCTGGACGTGCCAAAACAGTTCAGTCACATCAATTATTTGGAACTTCAGGCAGTGTGGTATGCACTCAAGTCACTTCTGGCCTGCTGCAGCAACAAACACGGTCTGGTGCACACAGATGGCACTTCGACAGTGGCATATATTTCTCACAAGGGAGGAACACACAACCAACAGTTATCACGTCCCACGGTACAGATTTGAGTTTGGTGTCTTCGTCGGGGCATAGTGATTTTGGCAGAGCATCTTCCGGGGTCACAGAATGCCATAGCGGACATGACTTGTGTGTTCTGTCTACAAAAGTTAGCCAAATGTGCTTCAGTGCAGGGGCCAAGTAGAGAAATTGTTCTCCCAAAGTACCCTACTAACAGGAAGCTTTGTGTAGTCAGGGCACTGGATGAATACCTGGATCGCACGAGTTCTGTGCAGCGTTCTGGGAGTACACTTACACTTGCTACACTTACCAAGTATCACATCAATCAGGATCAAGTGAATGTTATGCGTGTACTGAAACCTCTTCTGGCCAAATTTAAATTTCTGCTGCGTCATTGGAGAAGTGCAAAAGGATCACGGTCTAAAAGCAAGCTTTGCTAAAAAAATGGAAAAAAACGTTGTACAATTTTGCATTGCCCCATTGCACTGGATCACCGACTCAAATGAAACTAGAAAAAGCAGTGCGCGACCTGGCTAGTGTTGAGCATGAACTCAATGAAACAAAACAAGCACTTGATCAAGCTCAAGAAGAAAACAAAGAACTTTCAAAAAAGATACACCAGTTGACAAATCAAAAGAAGCACAAAAGTGGTGAGCAAGGTAAGACCAAAGGTAACCTCAGTTATTGTGATAAGCAAAAAAGACATCACAAAACATCACAAAAACCCCCCAAAAGAGTCAAAATTATCTCTGCAGGATTTTTCAATGGGAGGATGGAAACAGACAAGTGTCACATTTAGAGATGAATTTGATGAGGAAGTTGTTGTTTGCCTCGAAGATGGTACGGAAAGAAGAGTTTTGTGATGATGACATTGATGAATTGATTTTCATCTTGGACCAGTACAATATCCCTGACTGAGGCTATCGTGAACTTGCCCAAGCCAAAACATCTTGCAAAGTTATAAAAAGGCGCTATGCACTTAATACAGGTATTGAACTGAAAAATGCCAATTGCCAGGTGGGTACATCTCCCTCACTGACTCATTAATTTCAAAACTGTCTGACCCCAAAAAGAACCAATGTGATCAAGGATGGCAAGGTACACACAAATTAAGTGGAGATGGTACTAGAATCACATGCAAGCAGAATTTTTGTGAACTTATCATATACACTTGTGTATGAAAGCACGTGCATGTCTAAACATGGTAATTACATGTATCTCCTGGCAATTGTGAAGTGCCACGAAGACAATGCTTCAATTAAAGCTGCTCTTGGTGATCTGATTCAGGAGTTTGAGAACTTGTCCTCCATAATCGTCAATGGTAACATGATCGAGGTCGATAAATACATTGGCAGAGATCTGAAATTTCTAAATCAGGTTATGGGGATAGTGGGGTTTGAAAGTAAATCGGCATGTTTGTGGTGTCATTGCCATAAAGAGGAACAGTTTGATATGAGCAGAACTTGGTCAATAACTGATTCCAAATTAATGTAATGTAAAGGTGGGGAGATGCATGTTCAGGATAATGGAAGGCAAAGAAAAATACAGCAGTTAAAGACGGACTCAGATCTGATTTGGGACTTTCTACTTCAAGAAAAATCATGGCTATAAGTTGTACTCCAGAGGCAAAGTTATTGCAGACAACTGTTTTTTGAGGAAGAAATCCTCAGTAGAGACTTTTCTTGTTTAGTCACAAAAATGGCATATATATATGTACATTATACACTATGGTACCATATTCAGTGGGATGTTCATGAAAAAGATGTACATCTATAATGTGAATAGATATTTATATTATAATAGATATAGAGGTATATTTATGGCTTTTTAAAACAGCTTTCCTTTTTAGTGATATTGTTAACATTTTGGTCATTGGGAAATCCTTCAAAATCGACCTTAATTTTTTTTGGCTCATCACAAAAATTTGGGGGTATGATTCAGTAGCCCACCCCACCTCAAAAAGTAGGGGGACACTTCCCCCATCCCCCCCCCCCCCCGATTTATGCCCATGCTCGCAACACAGGCAGGTTCTGTGCCGTCATCCTCATTTATCAATGAGTAAATTATAGCTACTGTCAGTTCAACTTACTCAAGTCTGCTAGTCTATTTTACCTTACAGTAAATTCTGTGAGTTTGAGTTAAAATAAGTTGAGCTAGAATAACACTGAACTGACAGATATTGTAACCTGCCTAAGGTGGTTGCTTCAAACTTTGAAAGAATTTGTCCATACAATGTACACGTAATCATATGATCTTGGATTTTATTCTTGTTCCATTTGTATGTAGATCCACAAAAGAAAATTTCAAGGAGAATGACACTTT